AGCACTTTGTTTGACTTACTTGAAATATATCAGTATCTTCATGGTGAACAAATGTGATAATCCAGCCATCATCTTCTTCAACATCGCCTTCTTTGGGGACAAAGGCTGCTCCACTACAATACGTGTTCTTCTCAAACATGTGATATTCTACTTTGATTGACCCTTCTACTTGATTCCCACCCTATAGTTATATATTAAGTTGGGGTTAAGATTCAAGATAAAAAAAATGAAGGAGAAACCTATATCAGTTACCAAAGAAATCCCAGTGTTTTGCTCTCCAAAGTAGAGCTTGGCAAGGCCCCCAAATCTCCCCATGCCTGAAATAATAATATGAAAAGAAAGACCATGAGATATGAAGAACAATAATTCTTATAAACGTAGAGATCACGAAGTGTACAAATATATGATATCCTAAAATTTGATGTGTATCGAAACATGAAGCATTCTAAATCTTTCAATATCTTTACAAAACTCATGTCTACACCATCAATTCAAAAGTTGTAGAGATTATTGGTATCTGATCTATTGATTGACTAATCTAAATCAGGTTTTGCAAAGGATTATTATGTCTCATCCTACTAGACTAACTGATTGTTGGTAATTACCGAATAATCTTTAAGCACTAGGATTACAATAAAATCGAATGTAATACCTATGGCAAAGCTCGAGTCACAGTGACACACTTGGGTGTAGCCATATTTGTTTTTCAAACCTGTGAAAGCTCCATTTATCATAGGCAGTTCCATGGGGAAATGATTGGAGCCTGTCAGATATCTCTCCTTCACTTCTCCGGTTTGCAGATTCACTCTCTATTCATATGCACGAGGAAACAATAACTGCTCTTCGGAAATGGCTTCTTCAATATCTTTACCAGGTCCAGGCTTAAATTTTGTGGGAAACCACTCAAATTTCTTTGAACCCGGTTCAGGTCCTGATATGAATGATGCTTGAGCTATACACCCCCATACTACAACCTGTATATATTGTTCTGTCAAATTTTAAATGCATGCAAAATGCGTAGCAGATGAACTATAGTTTATACAATTTAAGAGATTAAGTTATTTCTCCCTATAGTAAAGTAAATTTTGGAGAGTTATATATACTTTGTGAGTTGTTAGAATGAGTAGTTGTCATTTGATAATTTTATTCATCTATTATTATTATTATAAAAATTGACGGTTCTCTTTATTTTGATGGTTTTTTCTTTGAAACTTTTACTACAACCTGTATATGTTCTGTCAAATTTTAATGCATGCAAAATGCGTAGCAGATGAACTATAGTTTATACAATTTAAGAGATTAAGTATTTCTCCCTATAGTAAAGTAAATTTTGGAGAGTTATATATACTTTGTGAGTTGTTAGAATGAGTAGTTGTCATTTGATAATTTTATTCATCTATTATTATTATTATAAAAATGATGGTTCTCTTTATTTTGATGGTTTTTCTTTGAAATTTTTCTTCGAGAGAGAGCACAAGTGTATTTCATTTCTCATTTCGAGTGTATAAAGCTCGAAAGGTTCTGTTAACTTTAGAATAATATAATTCATTTTTGAGATTATACCAATCAAGTGAAATTGTTTGTAAGTCATGACTTCTATCCTAACACAGTAAATTGTTATATTTTATCTTATTTAATTATTATCTGACGTTTACGTTGGTAGGAATACTATTTTTTCTAACAAGTTACCTCATCACCATCCTCAAAGCAATTGATAATGTGAAAACTGCAATTTGGTTTCACTTTAAACCATTGGATTGAATCTGAATCTCCATAGCGAGGCATTATACCAATTCTTGCATATCCTTGGCTCTCGTATTTTATTAACCTTCCAAAATCAACATTTGCTGTTAAGCAAATAAAATAATATTGGGTAAATACGTATTAGTACTTAAACTATCAGTTTTAGTCAATTTTAGTACATAAACTTTTTTTTTCAAAACCATACCTAACGTTTAGTTTTCATTTCATTTAGTACCGCCTTTAAAAACTTAACACGTTTATTACCTAAACTATTAGTTATGGTCCGTTTTAGTACCTAAAGTCTCTATTTTTTCAAAACTTAACGTTAAATTTTGAACGGGTACTAAAATAAAACAAAACTAAATTTTTAACGGCAGTACTAAAATGATACAAAATTAAGTTTTAGGTATACTTTGAAATTTAAAATTTAGATACAAACATACCAGAATTGATAGTTTTGGTACTAAATGTGAAATTTACCCAATAATATTTGGATAAAAGTAAAGAAATGAACCCTATGAACTCACTGGCCTCCACAGACAAACCTGTTTATGTCTATAGTGAACAATCCATGACCACATTATACCTGCAAATTGAAACAAAACCCCATGGAAATAATATCAAACTTAAAACATATAAAAACGCCAAGTTTATTACCTCTTGGTAACTCCGATTTCATGACAAATTGGGCATCTATCGAGTTTAAGATCCAGTTGTGTAGTAATCTCTTCCCATCAGCTGAAAATTAAATTAGAATCAGTAGCTTCCAACCCCTTAAAGTAAGGGTGTTTTTTGAATGTTCACTATGTACCTGAAATTACTCCCACTTCCACAAAAGGTTAGTCCCTGTATTCCCATGGTGACCAGCTCTCCACTACCTGGAGCTCTCTGTCATGTATTCAAAATGAAGTTAGTTATCTATAATACTTTGATCATCAAAGATTGATGTAGACTCAGGGATGGATCAAAGGTCGACAGATAATATCCTCCCCTGAAAATTTAAACTGTGTAATTTTTATTTTCTAATTATATATTTTTATCTTTAACAAAATCTTATGTCCGTCTTTTATACTATTAGTGATGTACTTAGGATGAGCAATAAAAGGGCGGTTCCATTCTCCATTAACATCCCAATCACCTAAAGATTCAAGGGTAAAGATGTCAATCTCTTGAGGCAATCCATTTCTGCAATGGAGTACAACTTCCCCGAATGCTCAAAAACATTGGTATTGCTTGTGGTTTTGTATGGTTTGCCAAATCTCACCTGGGGAATATCAACAAAAACAAACAAAGTTTAGTATATCAAATTTTAAACTTATATTAAAATGAAATCAGTTGATGAGAATAAGATTATTGTGCCGGTCGTTGGTGGTTTACCCTTTTTATTTAGACAGGGAGACACAGTTGGTGTAAAATCGACCATTAGCCGATATTTTCTGTTAGAGATAAGAAGAGAAAAGAGACCTAAAAGAGAAGATTATTCTAAGTTAAAGATGAAAAGTTTGAAAGAGAGATGACATTCCTTTCAATCTTTTCGGGGTGACGATAGCCTCATAATGTTATTTTTTTTTTTGTCTTCAGACTCGTTATAAAAACTTAATAAATTTTAAGCTTAAACTCATTAATATTTTAAACTCAATTAATTTTAAACCTAAATAAAAAGTACTTAAATCAATTAAAAAAAATATAAATCCTAAAATTATTTGGAAAAAAAAAACTCTTCTCAAATATAAACTCAATTAATTTTATTTCGTTCGTTTATGTTCATTCGTTTATATTCATTTACGTTCGTTCATTTGTGTTTGTTTACCATTTAAACGAACGAACACGAACAAACTAAAATTCTTAGTGAACGACACGAATAAGAAATTTCGTTCATTTAGTTGTTTGTGTTCGTTCGTTTGTTGGTTCAAATTAAACGATCGACCATAAACATAACCTCATTTGTGTTCGTTCGGTTCGATTATAGGCTTAAACTATAGGGTGGCCGATATCCTGACATTTCGAGAAATATTAACGAATGGCTATTATTTCATGGACGTGACTCTCTGACTAAATTGAAAAGAGTGAACTATCAATGACCCACGACACAAATTTGTTCCCATCAATAAAACATTGAACTTAGTTTGTTTAGTTAATGAGTAAGCAAGCCCACACCAAATTGAGCAAGTAAGAAGAGAAAACAGCAAGAGAATCCCCTTGAACGGCAGGAAGAAAGGAGGGTTTGTTTCTAAGTTTTTCAAGCTTGAATGTATCATTCAACATATCTGTTATTGTCAATAATAGTCCACCTCCCATTAATGTCTTTGCTGAAGTACAAAGCATGAATCATTCCTTCTCCTTCAACCCATATTGGACTTGACATCCCAAATATAGATTGGTTGACTGTAGTCCTCCAAACATTGGATTTGATCCTGCAAATCCATAGACGGATATAAAATTTTATGTTAGGAGATGAACTTATAATAATATAGGAAATAAGTTTATAAAATTTCCCGATCAATTGAATTAAACTCGAACATATGAAATTAAAGAAAAAGCAACCATTTCTTATGTAGACTCCTTGAGGAAAATCAGTTGGAATATTGCCATGGACGGTGGTGACAATACAGCTTCTCTCAATTCATCAACTGGAGCTGTGTTCGTCTGTCCAACATTTGTAAATGTAGGTAAACCCAGAAACCTTGAGTGTATGTAACTGTATAGCTATATATATATATATATATACACCTGATTTGTGTCCAAAGGGCAGTCAATAAACTCGAAAGCAGAATCTACAAATGCATCAAGCAACTTACCGAAGTGTTCTTCACAGCAGCTTTCAAGACATTAACTCCATAAACAAGTTGTTGCACTTCTCTCATAAGTGGCTGTCAGTCAACAAATATCATATCGTATCATATTATATACAGGTTTAGGATCCAATTATATAGTGTAAAACTCTTTAAAAAAATAAGTTAAACTCAATCTTTTTTTTCCTCATCCAACGATCCCAAAAGGTGTAAAACTTATAGTTTTACACAAGGTATAAGTGGATATTAACTAATCAATTGAAAAAAAAAAAAACAATGAGTTGAACTCAACCTTTAATTTTTCCTTATCTAATGGTCATGAAATGGTATAAAACTTTTAGTTTCACACTAGCGTAAGTGAATCCTAACCCATATATATAAGGGTTTAAATGAACATAGCGTTCAATGAACTGTTCGTGAATCGTTCGTTTAATGTTCGTTTAATAAACGAACAACCACGAGCAAATGTGTGTTTGGTTCGTTTATTGTCACGAACAAGCTCGTTTATTTATGTTCATTAACAAACTCGTTTACCCGATTTTCCATTTCCTTTTTTTTGAACATTTTAAATATTGGTGAAGATAAGGATTAAATAGAACACATGGTAAATTTTGCATTTTAAACTATGAATTTTAAGGAGTTTAAACACCGGTGGCATAATTTTATCATTTTTCTTTAGCTTGCAAATGATATTAAAAATCGAATATATAAACGAACGATAAAAAAACACTAGAACAACCACTACAAGAAAATATACCTTTAATGACACAAACAATGACGCACGCTAATTTATGACTTGCAAAAACTGTGTCATAAAAAATGTCATGTTTCTTAAAATACGAACGATTTATGACTTACAATAATCTGCGTCATATTTAATAGTCATAATCCAAAAAATTTACAAAACACGAAGTACACTTTTTAAATGTGTGTCATCTCTAAAAGTCGTCTTTTAATTTCCCCCCATTATTTTCATCCTTTCCCGCTTTTTCCCCCTCGATAATTATCAGTTCACTCCGCACACTTCCCCTTTTTTCTTTTTCCCTTTTTCCCTTTGTCCAAAACGCCATCTTCTCCATCAAGATCGTTATGTTCTCTAAATCCTATTGCCTATATGCCATTTTTCTCCATTTCTTTTACATTTACACAGTTTCGTTTCAACCTTTCAATGTTCATGATTTAGAATCAGGATAGCGTAATCAATCTTGTTTCGACTTTTTGACTTCATGGGTATTTCTTCAAAAGTATAATTGAAACTTCAATTCTTGGGGGTTTTGTGATTAGATAATATGATGGGTTGCTCCTAATTCTTTCGCTTTTGTCTTGTTCGTAGGTATTGCCTTCGTGCCAAGCGGATTTTCAGTGAACTAAATGAGAAACCTTATGCTGTAGAGCATGATCTCCGAGGTATCTGTGGATATTATTCATCTGTTTCTGATTCGTTTATTGTATGTGTGTGTGTGAGTAGAAAAATAGTAATTTTAGATGAAGTGTTGACTTGTTGAGTTTTTGTTTTAGACGATGGAGGTAAAATCCAATATGTTCTTCTGGATTTGATAGGTCGAAGCACTGTTCCACAAGTGTTTGTGAATGGAAAGCATATTGGAGGCTCTGATGGTTAGCTACTTTGTCACCATAGTATTTGTTTTTCTAGATATTAGACACACACATATATATATATATATATATATATATATATATTGATTTCATTTTTCTTATTTCTTTCTGACTATTTAGATCTCAGAGCTGCGATCGATGATGGTACACTGAAAAGGCTTCTAGCTGTAAGTATATGAACTGTTAGATAGAAGGAAATACAATCATTCAATCTTATTCATTAACTATAAAACTGCTCGAGGATTAGAGAATCATATCTTGGTTGTGAGTTTTTTTAGTTCACAGCAAGATTTCGATGAGTGCTCTGTGATAATGGCATGCCCTTTGTGAGGTTATCTTATATTGCTTCATCGTTATGGAGGTCTCTAGTTTAGATCTTAAGTACATTTTAAATGTAGATGAGGGAGGGGCAATAACCTCATTTATCTTTCACATTAATCTATACTTCTGTTGGTGGATCCTTTTTCTCTAACAATCGGATTTTAGGAAGTCCATGTTCATAAGATGTGCTTCTTCTGAAATATGTCAACATGGGTTCCTATATAATTTTCAGATAAATGTCTTCAACTATGCTTCTGAATGATCTATTTTTGGTTCTTTCTTGTTGTTAGCATTGATGTGTATGACAAATCAGAAAAATGAAGATATTTGGTTAATATTATTTGAACTAACTGCTGCTAGTGATATGGAAAAAATACAGGAGACGAAATCCAGTTGTCTAAAGATGGAGCATGCAAGTGATTGGATGGGTGCTCAGCTGACCCGACAGATTTTGGTTCAGGATAACATTCCTGCAATAGATGATTCTCCCTTTACAGTATCATGCAACAAAAGACCATAACTGATCAAGCTTTATTAATTCATTACTTGTGATAGTTAGGTTTAGGTTACAACTAAAACAATGATGTTTTTTTTTCGGTTTCAATTTCCAGAACTTAGTGGTCTCTTTATGACCTGCAACTAGTTGTAGGAGTGCAAATTAAGTTTGTCTTCATTCTCTTTATGTCTTCTCAAGTGGTTTTATAGAGTGCTAAATGCTCCCTTTTTTTTTGGTATATCAGCTGGTGTTTCATTAGATGATAAAAATTGACCGCCCATTTTCCCAATTATACATCATGATATAGCTAATGAGATACCGGTTCATGCTCATTGGCTGCAATATCTTGCATTCGCAAGTTGGCTTAGTGTGTAAGTTTATTTTTTGGCTTCTTATTGGATTTTTCTGTACTACTCTTTATCCCTTACTTTTTAATGTAAATTGTTTTGCAAAAGAAATTTGTAAACTTGATTGAATTTAAGTTTTTGCATGGAATTTTATTGTTATATTAGGTGCAGTTTGATCAAGTGAGAAATTAAGTGCTAAAAAGCTAAGCATTGAACTGTACTTCATCTGTGGTGTTTTCTTTTATGTTAAATGCTTTAAATAAATACTGTGAACACTAAGTTGAGGTTCCTCCCATTAATTTAGTTCATTTTTTTTATTGGAGCCTAACTTCTAGTGCTTAGTTGACGTTAAGGATAGAAGAAAGAAATAAGGATAACAACTATATGGATAGAAGTGAAAAACATTGAAGGGGTATTACACTTTGATGTAAAATCTATTGAATTATAATTCAAAGATTGAATAGTTTCTTGCACATTTGTGATGCTGATAGCATTAAAATATCTATCCCATATATTATCTTTAGCTTTAATTTACTAAGAATAATCATATGTTTTATAATGTGTTATCTGATTATCTATGTTATTATTAGATCCTGATATTTGGTATTTATAATTGTCAGTGTTATATAGCATTATAGTAAAAAATCCAAGAAGTTGGACGAGGGGAAAACAATTCATGCTACACATACTAGTCTAACCGGGTATGCATCTTCATTCTTATGATTTTGTTGTTTAACCCTTTGGACTCAAGTTTTGATATGAGAAACAAAGCCATTTCTGACTTATACCTTGTTCATTCAGGATGCATTGAAGGACATATTAATTGTATTTTCCAAATTAAATCCAGGTACAAGATATGTTCAAGGGATGAATGAAATCTTGGCACCTCTATTTTATGTATTCAGAAATGATCCCGGTGAAGAAATGGCAGTAAATATCACATTGTCTTTCCTATCTAGTATTTATTATTTGTTTTAATGTTTTTCTTCACGCAAAACTTCTTGGTGCAACCAAAAAAGTGTTTTCTGCTTCTGGAACCTTCCACTTTTTTCAGCTTTGAGATTTACATTTTGTTTATCATTTGGTGTTCTTGTCAAACCTGTCTTTGCCCATTTCTATCTACAACACTACTGCCACCAACTCCCACTTTGTTCTTTTTCTTTATTTTCTTCTTTTGCTTTCTTTTGATCGATCGGTCGGCGAAGACTGAGTCTCACGTGATAAGATCTCGTTATGTAGTAAGGTGATCAAACGGTGTTGAGTTTGAGACCTGGTGGTGGTCGAGGGAGCAGACTTTTTGGTGGCCCTTCATCATCATCTCTTGTTTCTTCATTAGCATTCGGTTCGTTTTCTTTTGATCTTCCTGCCTTTCGTCCCCATGGCGGTGCTGTTCCCTTATTTTCTCTTAAGGTTCAATCATTTTATCCATTATCTATTAAACTCACATCTCTATTTTGTTTGGATATAGACATTTTGATTTATTCTCGGGGTCGTTGTTTAGATTTATGCTTTTAAATTAAGATTTTTTTTTGAAAAATAAATCATTAGTGCAGTAGTTGTTAGGTATTGCTCTTTTAAAGATTGAACCCTTGTCATGCAGTTTTGATTGTTATTGTTGATTATACTATCTCTGAAATAAACTTTGCATTTGTTTTTACACCTAAAAGGCTATACATTTATGTTTTTGTGCTCGGAAATAACAACCTGGTATTTGATCAATTGTCTTTCATATGGTCAAATCAAAGCACAGAGTAAGGTATTATATTAGAACTTCAAAAAAGGAAGAGTGATTTAGTTTTAATAGCAACCCTGTATTAGCCGTATAAATAATATATTGTTAGATATTACATTATATCTTTAAGGAGGAAAAATGTAATCAACTTTGTCCTAATTCTTTGGTACACTTGGTACGTTTACTTGATTTAAATATGGACAAATAAAATATTAAAGATCTACAATAAAGAAATAAGCATCTTACATAGTTTATACAAGTGAGGTGTTCCATTGATAAAAAAAGATTTAAGGATCTTAACCGATTCTACTATACACTGGTTATTGTTCCCCTATTTTTGATTATTGTGACTTGCGAGCTAAAAACTCTTTTGGTTTAATCAATTGCCACATGTCTTTTTAAGTCTAAGTAAAGAAGTTAACAGTACATTATTAAGTAAACACTCTTATGGAGTTTCTAAACTCTACTTCTTGTGTGTACGATAATAACTTACAGTTACATATTTGTCACTCAATTGCTTTTTGATCTTCCTAGTTGATGAAGAATAATTTTTTTAAAGTGTATAGGATTTTAACCAAGTCTTATTGAGGATTTCAGAGTGCAAAAGGTTGGGTCTTGTGGTAACATCTTTATGATACAAAACCATCAGATTTCAAATGTGGTTTCCTATTCTTTGTTTGTTACTTAAGATATGTTTAGCTTATGTTTTTTAATGTTAGATAAGTTTAGTTTTTTTATTAATATGTTAGGAATATACCTTGTACTTTGCATTTACTGTTGCATGGTTTATTCTTTAGATCATTAATTAAATGTCAACATGCTGCATATTGAAATACATACGGGTTGTAGAATTTGAAGTTTTCGATTTCCATACTGTTGTAGGCTGGGGACTCAAGATTTGAGGATCGTGATCGTGTGCGGTATACTAGGGACCAGATTCTACGACTTAAGGAGATAATCATACAAAACTTTTGCTTAGTAGTATCTTTCTTCTCTTTATGTTATCTTTTTGTTGCAATGATTTTGCATAAAACTACCTCGAATGGACCATTCCAAGTGAATGTGCTTCAATGAATTTGACTTTTATGTAAATTTTTAGAACTCCTAACATAAGTTTATTCTCTTAAAATATCAACCTGAAAGTTTTTGTGCAACTCTCTTCTAGTAAATCGCTTGTCAAGAGAAATTCTGAAGTACCTGGGAAAATTTACCAGTCTCACATATCTTTATGTTCTGAACCTTTGTTAATTATAGTTATTCAGTTAGATTTTTCAGGGTGCGATAACGATTGACTTCCTAAAAATATTTGCATTGCAAAATCAAAACAGCAAACTCTGTTAGTCTATTTTTATTAGATGTTGTAGGTGCTAGAAAATTATAGACTTTTCTTATTCCTTTATTCACTCGGTAGGAAATTTAATAAGGATGTTTGATGCTTTTATTTATCATGAATCTTGAAGCAAACCAATTTCCGGGCCATGTAACACTTGAACTTGGGGATTTAGTGAACTTGGAACTTTGTAAGGAAAAACTCAGTACCTTTTTCTTCTTCTTTGTTTAATATTTTACAATTCTCTTAATTTCTTGTTAAATTGGCATTGATCAAATGATTTGTTTTAATTCTCATTGTAATTTCAGGATGCTCTCCTCCAATCAGTTAACTCGGAATTTGCCGGTGACGTTTAGTTTACTAAGAAATCTAACTGACTTGTAAGTTTCTTTAAATTTTCCTCTAGTATAAACCACGTATATAGACACGTTCATAGGATCAACACTGATTTGTTTGCAAATGTTGTATTTATCTTTTGTACAGGAGGATTAGTGATATAAATGGGCCAAGTCAGGATTTTCCTGTGCTCAGAAACATGAAACACCTACTGACATTGTATGTTTTGTGCTCAAATTATCAAATATTTTGAAGTTTCCATCTATATATGATTCATTTTGACAAAACATAATCCCGTTATATTTGTATAGGGTTTTGAGGAATCTTATGTGACAAACTTTATTATGTCGTGATATTTTGTATCGACATATGATTACAAAATTTTTGATAACTTAATGTGAATATATTGTATGCAAATGGATTTCTTATATATAATATGATATATATATTTAGTATTATGAGGCATTAAATGTGATTTAGTTTGATTATTTGTCAATCTACAATATAATATATATATATATATATATATATATATATATAATTTACGACATATAATCACGACACACGAATGTGTGTCATATTTTCTAATGACGTGTGCTTCAATGACACGCAATATAAGTCATAAATGCGTGTCATAAATTTATGACACACAAATGTGTGTCGTCTTCATTTATGACGGGGGCTTCAATGACGCGCAATGAGCGTCATAAATGCTCGTCATAAATACGTGTCATAAATGCGTGTCATAAATGCGCGTCATAAATTTATGTCGCACAATTGCGTGTCATCTGAGATTCATGTCGGTGGCTTCAATGACAGGCATTTGTGTGTCATCCGCACCCATAGATGACGCGCAATGCGCGTCATTAAAGGGGTTTTTTCTAGTAGTGAACTCTAAATGAATACTAATTGAACACTAAATAAACGCTAAACAAACATGTTCATGAACGCGTTCGTGAACATATAAACGGACACGTTCACGAACATTAAACGAACACTAAACGAATATGTTCATGAACACGTTTGTGAACATTAAATGAACATGTTCGTGAACAATAAATAAACGAATATGAACACCTTCAAAAATAAATAAACGAACATGAACACAATATTGAAAATTTAAGCGAACACGAACCGAACACGAACACGAACACCTTCAAAAATAAATAAAAGAACATGAACATAACCTTGTTCGTTCAAGCTCGGTTCATTTACACCCCTACATATATTATTAGGATCTACTTACATCTAGTGTAAAAATTTTAGTTTTACATCTTTT